GTTCCAAGACTTTCTCACTGAAGGTAAGCTTAGAATCTTGTTCTACTGCTTAGAAATGTACTTAGTCGTATAGGAACTATGCTTGAGGTATGCTTGTGTATGTTAACACTTTACAATAAGGTCTCATTTGTTAACATTAATTAATGTGCAAACTAACAATGACTAACTTTAGTATTAGTTAATAAAAGTAGAACTGTTTGTTAATTTTAGTTCAAAGTACATTCATGTTAACGGATACAACCTTTGATTTTTATAGTGTATTAGGAAATGTTGAGATTAACATTAACTAAGATTATTAAATGCTGTAGAAGTATTGTGCATTCTTAGTCCATTGTTAACTAATGAAACCTTATTGTAAAGCACCAGACGTCAGCTTGTTAATATTGTTATCAGTCACATGACAGCAATTCATAGGTAAGACTTCAGTGCTCAGATGCAAGAAATGCACACAGCTGTGTCAATTCGTGTAGAAAACAATGTTAAGTTTAGCATTAACCTTTTTTTTTTTTTACATTGAAGGAGGATCCCCACCCGCAAACAGCAGGAAACGTATGGCTTGGACATTATTTCTCTCTTTCCTAGCCTGAGAGACCAGTTTTCAACAAAGGGCTATGTAAGAATATTTTGTATTGATGTACTTTTAACACTATCTAGTTGGACATTAAGTTTTGTGCTCCTTTTTTGTGGCATGTAATAGTAGTTTATCTATTAAATGTAATGTAATGACTAACGTAATATTCAGATCTTACAAAAAGTGTTCTCTTGTCTTTCTGACAGGAGCATTTCTACGATCCGGAAAAGGGAACAGAGTTCATCTCCTGGCGCCTTAAAACTTTGTCAAGGAAGAACCCAAAACGTGTTTGCTTGGAGATGACAAAGTGGAGGACCAAGTTGACGAAGGATAGATGATGTGCAACAACTTGAAGGAGATGCATGCAGAGGGGTAACTTCTTTCCTTTTCCATACAGCTGACCTGAACTTTCACATTGAGCAGCATTTACTACACCGAGCCGTTGTTCACTGTCAAGCTGCGCAAAACATGTGCAAAATATGATCGTGGTTTTGCGCAGCTTGTCAGTGAACAACGGCTCGGTGTAGTTAATGCTGCTCAATGTGAAAGCACGCACGTGATGGAGATTTACCACTGATTACAGAACCGGCTTTACTGGCAAGATGCGCATTAAATATCGCATGCAATTTATCATGCAGCCTTATTGTCTGTGCTTGAACATTTCCTTCATCTTTTGCATAACTTTCACTGTAATACACAAAGCATGATATCAACTGGTTTTGTTTGGCACGTATTGGGTTAAGATGTGTTATATACAGTGGGTACGGAAAGTATTCAGACCCCCTTACATTTTTCACTCTTTGTTATATTGCAGCCATTTGCTAAAATCATTTAAGTACATTTTTTTTCCTCATTAATGTACACACAGCACCCCATATTGACAGAAAAACACAGAATTGTTGACATTTTTGCAGATTTATTAAAAAAGAAAAACTGAAATATCACATGGTCCTAAGTATTCAGACCCTTTGCTGTGACACTCAAATATTTAACTCAGGTGCTGTCCATTTCTTCTGAGCATCCTTGAGATGGTTCTACACCTTAATTTGAGTCCAGCTGTGTTTGATTATACTGACTGGACTTGATTAGGAAAGCCACACACCTATCTATATAAGACCTTACAGCTCACAGTGCAAGTCTGAGCAAATGAGAATCATGAGGTCAAAGGAACTGCCTGAAGAGCCCAGAGACAGAATTGTGGCAAGGCACAGATCTGGCCAAGGTTACAAAAAAAATTCTGCTGCACTTAAGGTTCCTAAGAGCACAGTGGCCTCCATAATCCTTAAATGGAAGACATTTGGGACGACCAGAACCCTTCCTAGAGCTGGCCATCCGGCCAAACTGAGCTATCGGGGGAGAAGAGCCTTGATGAGAGAGGTAAAGAAGAACCCAAAGATCACTGTGGCTGAGCTCCAGAGATGCAGTCGGGAGATGGGAGAAAGTTGTAGAAAGTCAACCATCACTGCAGCCCTCCACCAGTCGGGGCTTTATGGCAGAGTGGCCCGACGGAAGCCTCTCCTCAGTGCAAGACACATGAAAAAACACCTGAAGGACTCCAAGATGGTGAGAAATAAGATTATCTGGTCTGATGAGACCAAGATAGAACATTTTGGCCTTAATTCTAAGCGGTATGTGTGGAGAAAACCAGGCACTGCTCATCACCTGTCCAATACAGTCCCAACAGTGAAGCATGGTGGTGGCAGCATCATGCTGTGGGGGTGTTTTTCAGCTGCAGGGACAGGACGACTGGTTGCAATCAAGGGAAAGATGAATGCGGCCAAGTACAGGGATATCCTAGACGAAAACCTTCTCCAGAGTGCTCAGGACCTCAGACTGGGCCAAAGGTTTACCTTCCAACAAGACAATGACCCTAAGCACACAGCTAAAATAACGAAGGAGTGGCTTCACAACAACTCTGTGACTGTTCTTGAATGGCCCAGCCAGAGCCCTGACTTAAACCCAATTGAGCATCTCTGGAGAGACCTAAAAATGGCTGTCCACCAACGTTTACCATCCAACCTGACAGAACTGGAGAGGATCTGCAAGGAAGAATGGCAGAGGATCCCCTGAAAAACTTGTTGCATCTTTCCCAAAAAGACTCATGACTGTATTAGATCAAAAGGGTGCTTCTACTAAATACTGAGCAAAGGGTCTGAATACTTAGGAACATGTGATATTTCAGTTTTTCTTTTTTAATAAATCTGCAAAAATGTCAACAATGCTGTGTTTTTCTGTCAATATGGGGTGCTGTGCGCACATTAATGAGGAAAAAAATGTCCTACGACGAAGCCCTGATGTCAAAAGCCAACAGCTTGTTCTACAGGCCTTTTGATCAGCAGTGTTTATATGGGTCAGATGATGGTGAATATATGGTACCTTTTTTTGTGTTGGTGTAATAGTTACATCTGTGTTAAAAATAAAATTTCAAACTGATACAGCGTGTTGACTTTTTTTTTTTTATTTGTTTACACCGAATGCACAGGTATTTTTAGTCGAATACAGATTACACTTAATTATCTTAATCAGGGTTTGTATGAACACTATATTAGTGTGGAAATAAGTCTCTTGGTGTTAAGATATTGACACGCGTAGTGTAGTTTCAACACTAACTTGGTGTACATGAGGGGGAGGGAAAACACTAATGGTGTTAATGGTGAACACTTACAGTGTTGTTTTTACTCAATGCAAGTGTAAAATAAAGTAACACTATTTAAAGTGTTAGTTTAACTCCATTTAGTGTGGACCTATATAAACCCCGAAAAAGTGTTAATTTTCTCACTGTGAGTGTTAATTTAACACTTTCAAATTTGCTGTGTATAACGGAAAATATCAGTGGTTTTGAAACAGTGACATTTTCAAATACCTTGAAACCGGTAATCGGCCCATGCCTACTAGAGAGCGTGCTCCCCTCGTAATCACAAAAAAGCTGTCATTCATCTTAGGTCATCCCAATCTCACAAATTTCCATTAATTAAAGAAGCTCTACACTGCACAATCTCTTACTTGCATCATGTCTACATTTACTTTGTTCTAATGAGAGGATTTGTGAGCGTGCAGAACTCAGTTTCTACGTCAGAACGCTGACTCCTGCATCAGCAGCACCATACACATGCGTTGTGGTAATCTTACGTGCATCGAAGACTGACACAGAAGAGAAGATATTGTTGAATGAAGTCGTTAGTTTTGTTTTCTTTGGACACAAAAAGTATTCTCGTAGCTTCATAAAATTAAGGTTGAACCACTGATGTCACATGAACTATTTTAACAATGTTCTTACTACCTTTCTGGGCCTTGAACGTGGTAGTTGCGTTGCTGTCTATGCACGATCAGAAAGCTTTCGGATTTCATCAAAAATATCTTAATTTGTGTTCCAAAGACGAACGAAGGTTAACAGACTATCCACACAACAAGTTGACATGTTACTTTTTAAAAATAAACACGGACACGTGCACTGAGATAGACCTACTATTTATGTTTTTGTCTGACAAAAAAACAAGACTATCCTGGTTCTTCAAAGCGCATAGGAGCCAGTGCGTGTTGTCGTTTTTGGCATCTTCATTTGTTAATTGAGTGAAAAATATTTACTGTAGTCCTATTTATTAGATTATTTTTTTTATATTATTTTGCTTTTCAGTTCTCAGAAGTGCTGCAGGTGCATAATAATTTGAAAATAGATTAATCCAGGTTCTGATGTTGCTTAGTTGTTCTGCATGCTGCCATTTGCACATGTTAAAATAAACCTGTGAAAAATATTTGTTTGTATTTTTAATAGGTCACAAAGTCACTTGGCCATTAAATTTTTATTCAATACTAATTTAATATTCTAATCGTATCAGTTAGCGGTTAATGTTCGGTTAACAAGTGGAAAATTAGCATCCCTAGTTCACAGAAGTATTTCTCACTGTGCCTCACCTGCGTCTCGGGGGCGATCGCCTTCTGGGTGAGGAACGATACTGTCGACGTGGTGATACAGACCTACGTCTGAGTGGTGAACGGCTCACTCTGCGCCGTGCTGGACTCGTTTCCCGTGATCTCCCAGCTCCATCCACACGAGGACGCTTCCTAAGAGACATGAAGCATTTTCCAGATAAATTATTTAATCACAGGGCATGTTTGTAACCAACAGCTTGTAACAAACAACAAATCACCTTAACAAATCCAATATTACAGTCTACTATTCTGATGCTAGGCAGTTTATCACACAGGAAACCTGCTGCACTCAGGTACATTAAGCTCTACCTGGTCAATATAAATGCACTGCAACTTATTAAGATGATAACTTACAAGTAATAAAAATAGGCAAGACAAGTATATGACCCTACAATTTCAGAACTGTAATTTAGGACCAGGCTGTTTTGAGACATTTTAAACTACAAAAAAACCAAGCAATAAGAATTAAAGCAAATGTTAGGTTCCTTCAATGGTACAATCTATTTATCAGGGACATTCCCATTGAGCGGGCAATTAAACTTGATATCAAACCTAAAAACAGCTCTGATTCCCTCAGTGCCATTCCAGTCAACAAATACGAAAACCCCTAGAGCTAAACGAAAACCCTGATCTGACTGTATGTTTGCAACATCCCGTTCAGTCAAAATGAGAACAAGTGTTGTGCAGCCAACTATGAAAATAGAACTATCTGTCACCTTCTTGCCTTTCAAATGAGTTCACTGCAACCATGCAACTAGACAGAGGAGCATGTGTAATTTGTGTGTGATGGGTAATCCGTGTGAACTGGGTTGTGGATGGGAGAGTGGGATGGGTTCTGCAAACCTTGATTTCAAACTATGTTCTGCTATATCCAGTTGACCAGTATATTACATTCTTATGTATGTTTAATTTCTTTATTAGTTAAAAAAAACTCAAACAAACAAAAATCACTATATTAGGATTACAGAATCAAGAAGTTGCTATATCAAGTACAAATCAGATTCATTCATATAAATCAGATATTAAACAAAAGCATTTTTACCATCAAGTTAATTTTAGGATTGTCTCATTTGCAATATTATTTTAAAAGTATTTGCACTTTCTAATTTCGTAAATAATTATACATTTAACTGCATACTATGTGTCATTTTTATTTTATTTATGTCTTTAAATAGTTTTATGTGTGTATGTACTGTATATGCATGTATGTATCTATCTGTACATCAAAAAATCCATATTGGTCAATCTTTATTAATACTTTTTTGCTTCACTGTCGATTTCTTTCAAGAAAATGTGTAATGTCTGTGCCATTAGAGTCACCAAAAATAACCTGAATAATGTAAGTTTACAAACAAGTTTCTCAAACACTTCTCATCTGATACTGGCAAACCAA